TCACCAACAACAGCACTAACAATAATGGCAAAAAAAGAAAAAAAAAAAAAAAACGAGCGGAAAGAAAAGGAGAATGTCTTCGTTGTGTAGTGTTTGTGATGTATTTGTCACTGTCGTCTGGTCCTGTTGCCTATGTAGCCGCTTTAAACAATGCATGTTGTCATTTAATGTTTGGGGATCTATTTCGGTGGTTTAAACTTCGTTCATTTGGACTACATCCAGTTATTTAAAAACTTTTGATAGGTAGGTTCATTTGGCAGCTTACAACATCGGCAGTTATTATTATTATTTTTTTTTTTTTTGAAAAAAATTATCAATAAAATCTGTACGTTTGTTAGCATTATACTTGGCATATGTTTAATGTTAGTGGGCGAGAAAAAAAAGAAGGAAGGAAAAATGTTGAGACATTTTTTTCTTTAATTTAATGAACCAAAAATTTGTGGAAAAATTAGAACATCTTATTTATATAAGTATAGCATTGATGGCATGTTTACATTTGGATATTACGTACAGTAGAAATTTGTCAATTCCTTTTTTTTTTTTTTTTCGTCTTGAATACAATGACCGGATCAACAATGAAGCAACAGTGTATAGTTTATTGTTGTTGGTGGCTTAAAATAACGGAAAACAACAGACACTAGGTGATGATCTAACAGTTTTCAATAGCCAAGGCTGGTTGGGCCGGTTTTTAGCCACAATCACAGTTCATATGCACCACCAATTAGCTGCACAACGTTTGCATAGTTCTGAAGTCTCAACCGATCTCATCTGGGAGAATCATAAATAACTTGGCGTTTATGCTAACTGACGCTGTTGGATATGTTCAGCATTCGAAGGTAATAAAGTGGGATGTTTTTTACTCTCTTTTTTTTTCCTTTCTTTTAATTTCTTGTGAAAATGTACTCAATTTTTGGTTTGAAACAGTTTTGTTTTTGTATAGATGTAATTCAGTAGTTGAAGAATGAAATGTTTTACAACGCATTTGACTTATGGTGGGAATAGTAAGTAGCGATGCAGGTTGCGAACTAAGATCGTTACATAGTGGAAAGTTAGCAGACAAGCACTGTTCATAATATACTTCCTCCTGGGTCTCAAAAAAGAAAAAAAACAAGTACCTTTAAGTTTGATTGGTTATATTTGACATTTTCTCTTTTGTTGCCGTTGTTGCTGAGAAAAAAACCTCAGAAAGTAAATGCGCTAAGGATCTAGTTGAAGACTTTAATGTGTTTTCAGATATAAACCTTTTTTAATTTTTATGATGGTCCTCTTAGATACTATATTTTGCTTTCTGTTTTTTTTTTTTCAAAGAGTATTTCGTGATTTAGTTGCTAACTTAAAACCTCTGTCAATGGATTCAAACAAAGGTTTAAAAAGTAAGCGTTCTTTTTTCCCACTTTTTGCCTGACTTTTAGGAATATGCTTCCTTCATTTGCAGCAAGCTGAATGTTGCTGAGCTGTAGTTGTCTCAATGTAGCCAATTGAACTCGTCATTTCCAGTTATTTTTCCGAAATTTTCTTTTCTTTTTTGGAGATGAACTAAGCTATTGTCTTACAATTTAACTTTTCCCGATTCTAACCTTTCACCTGCTTTTGTTGCTGCTGCTAATTTATGCCACGCGTCTCCTTGAGCCATTAACAAACCAGTAACTCAGAAATCTGAAATTAAGTGGCACTGGACCAGCATTTAAAAACTGAAAAACTTTCAAGTTAACATCTTAAAATTTTTCGGGTATAAAAGGTTTTTTGAATTTTAAAAATTGCAAGCGATTTAAACTGTTATAATTTGAAACTGGTATTAACAACTTGACAATTTATAGGAATATGAAACTGTAGAGGTGTAAATTATTTTCAATTTGTCTTTGATATTTGAATAATTCTTGGGAAGTACTTTTGAACATTCAATGACTCTTTTTCCTTTGCCAATCTTGTAAAGTAAAGTTGGTTTAAGTTTAGAGTTTTTATAAACATTTCATAAAAGTGGAGGGCCACATGTTCAGTAACCGTCGGTTAGTAATACTACTCTTGTGCTATAATTCTAAAATGGATTTATTTTTCTTGAATGACTAACTTAAAATTTCCAGATGATGGTTGTCACGTTACCTGCATGGTTATTTTAAAAAAAATATGATACTGACTTATGCGTCACAACTATGATGAGTAAGAACTGTTCAGTGCCCATCGAGGAATTATATTCTTTGGTGCCTCTGTTTGATCGACAGGATTTGGGTGATGCATGTATTAATTTACTCAATAAGGTAGCTTAAAGTATAATGTTAGTATAATTTTTTCAAAGTAGTTAATAGGAAGCCTTTTTTTGAGTACTTTGCAAAACATTTTTGTCCGGAGTACCTGCTTAGCTGAGTTTAAGTAGTAAGCAAACATTTCTGCTCCTAATGTGTGCATAATTTGTTAAAATAAGCACATAAAAAGTCAAACAAAACAGACCTTTTTTACGCTAGTAGATTTTTGAAAAATCTTTGCAAAATGTAAGTTTCTGTTTGCGCCTCATTTTTGTGAAAAGAGAAAGACTCTTAACGAAAATTTGTTTAGACGGTAACAAATTGTTTTATTCAAGTTTAGACAGAAGCATTTTTTACATTTCTACTCTTAAAATATCTTCTGACATAAATATTTTTACCGAGGACAGCTTTCACTTACCCTTGGCCTACTCATTCTTTGTTAAATCTTTTAACTTAATTAATGTCGAAGAACAAAGTAACTTTAGGATTTTATTACTTTCTAGGGTGAAATGTTTGGGTTTTGTTTTTAACTTATATCAGAAGCAACGCAAATGGATTTTTTTTAAGGAATGGCCAAGAAGCAAAACAGCACGTGCGAACAGCATAGCAAAGTCTACCTCTAAAAGTCCACCAATGTCATTACTTCTTCTGGAAAAGGAAACTGGTACATTAGTTGGGCACGCAAGGCTCTGCCGATTATTGGATGAGTCCGAATTTTGTTGGATTGAGTCAGTCATTATAGACCCAAACTTCCGGAATAAAGGAGTTGGAAAATTGTTGATGTGCCTTGTGGAGAAAACCGCAGAGACGTTCGGCTTTATCAAGGTTTTTTACCGGCTTTTAGTGAAAATGAGTACAGTTTATCGCTGCAGGTTTACTTAGTTCTTTACTCACTTAGTGCTTCTACCGTTTCTTAAGTGGTTTAATTTTCACCTAAACACTATGAAGTGTGTGTTTAAACTATCATTCTGTCAACCTGATTATTTGGGTTTAGAAGGCGTTTGACACCTTTCTTGGGATAATTTGTTGCGCTCCTCTTCTGTGACTTACTTTCTTTTTTTATTTAGAGCATTATTTTCTCTCTTTCTGACTGAGAATCATTAAAGACGATTTCATTTACATATTTTTGTGTTTAGATGACCTTTAGGCTGTGAAGTACATAAAAATACCGATTAAGCACCGAAAGGAGTTTTTTCTGCTTTATAATGAAAAGTATGAAACAGATCTAAGTAAGTTCGCTGAAGAAAGCGGAATATGAACAGAGCTTCGTACGAGGAATGTTGGCTTTACCTTGCGAACTGTGAAAAAAATGTACAGAAGGCAGTTAAGAAGAGGCCTTTTTTGATCACTAAGCGATTTGAGTTTTACAGCAAATTTTTAGATAATTGTCTAGTAGTAAAAAATCCACTCAGGTACTGTGGTCGATTAGATGCTAAAGCACTGATATCACGCCGGTGTCTCCGCCTGCTCGAAAGGCTTTTTTCTTGAATTGTTATTTCAGGTTAGGGGAGAGGCGAGCTCAAAAGAGCTTTCCTTCTGACTCTTATTCGGAGAATAGACTGCCAGAATATTTTGAAGGTAACGGGCTCTGGAGACCAAATAGATGTTTTTTTTTCTGATTTTACTAGTGTGGTAAAGGTTCATTAAGTGTTGAATTGCTGCGAATATTATCTGAATCAAGCAGAATTTGAACAGCTAATTCTGCACAATTTTTCTTGATTAAACGTTGAAAAATATAAAAGATAGAACAAAAAGACTTTTCTTTTAAAGCTATTATCAGTATAACTGTTCTCTTGCTCTGACTCTGAGTTCTGAATCTTAAAAGTGAGATGTCTTGAGAACATTTTTTTTTTCCAAATCTAATTCTGTGCGACTTATCTTTTTATGTGAACAGAGAAGGTATACAAAGTGCACTAAAAAACTAATTTTTTCCTTTGTATGTACAGGATGTTTATTGTTGCAAGTGACTGCCACATCATGTGCAGCATTTTGTTTTGTGTAAAATAAGGAGACGTTTATCATTGTCTAGAGTATGGTTTATGACCTTTAAGAGACGTTTTTTCTGCATTTTTCTGCAAAATGAAGTACGAATAATTTTTACTCCTTGTTAAAGTACAGAAAAGATGAAGAAGTTACAGTTTGTAAATTTTGATTGATGCCTTTTTCTAATGGCTAATTTTATCAAGGGGTTTTTCTGCTTTGTGAAGGTTTTTCTTTGCTGATTTATTTCAGAGTTTATTGCCTCTGTTGTATTTTAAAGCCTTGATCTATAATAGTTTTTTTTACTTATAGTTACTACTAATTGGAAGACTTTTTGCAAATCTAGTTAAATTATTTTTCTTTTGCCTGTTACACTTTAAACATCGTTTAGGCTTACCTATCGACGAAAGACAAGCAAGGTTTTTATCTGAAATGTGGATATGAATTTTGTAGTCCTGTCGTCCACAATGGATCTTCAAAAATTCGATCAAATTTGAAGTTTTTATTGCAGTCGTCTGCACTTGCATCACCGCCTAAAGTAAGCAAATGCCAATTTTGATCTACTGCTTCAAAAGAGTGTTTACAAATTTTTAATGATCTTCCTTTATGTGATCAAACCACTTTTTTGTAGCCAGCAGCGAACAGCGAAACCGTGCAGTGTGGCAGTCATCAACCAGAAGATAGTAGTAAGCAGATTCCGCCACCGCCTCCCTTACCGGATTTTCTGAAAGGACCGAAAAAGGGCAAATCGAACATGAAATTTGGTGTTGATTTACGGCCTAGTCAGTACATGTGCAAAGTCTTAAAATAAAATTTTCCTTTCGACCATACTGAGATTGAGTCGTTCTTGTTTTCTTTTTCTTGGGTCCACCTGTTTAACCTTAAGACTTTAACACTTCAAGTCTTAATTTATGTGCAAAAAAAATGATTATATTTACAAGCAATTTTTCACAAGAGATGTCTGTGATGAAGCAAGTTTTTTTCTACGGATAGGAAAGAGCTTATATTTTGTTAGCTAAATTACCTTTGTTGGTTTAACGGATTTAGAAGCTTTAAATAGCGCTTGTTTCATTCGGATTTTGTAAATATTATCTTTTCTTTCCTTTTTTCAGAAGTGCCTTCAGAAGTGTAACATAGAAGAAAGAACTGAGATTATTGAGAGTTTAGACTAAATGATTTTTATTAGCTATTTTATTAATTTATTTTATAAAGATCTTGTGAAAGAAGATCAAAGCCGACGGTGAAAATAAATTCTTCTGAAGTATTTTTGACTCTTGGCATTCAACTTAAGGAGAGGACATCAGATTAATACATTTAAGAAACTGATGTTGATCTGGCCAGGAGAGCATTTTTGGTATTGGTCAGTAAAAAAAAATTTGAGGAGGTCAGTGAAGAGTTGAAAGAAAAGTGATACTTTATTTTGGCATTGAGAAGGAGTTGTAATTTTCTGGTTGCATTTTGCAATATACCGAAGAATCGTTTGATAAAAAATCACTTCTGTACTGTCTATTGGCAATACTTTTTTTTGACAGAATCAAAGTTGGTCGGCTCTGTTAAAGTCTCCTTGGCACTTTACTGTACGTCACAGCGATTACTCAGTTGGCTTTTTACTTTGAAATTCAGTTCAATTTCATTCACATCCTGTGACGGTGTTTACTGCAGTATCAAATCATGGTTAAATATGTTTTTTGTCTGTTGGATGCGTAGTTTAGGTTGTGTATCTGAGTACCTAGGTTGTACTCTTCATTGCTGGTCTTGGGACTTTAAGATGTATTACGAACCGGTTACTTTATCTAGAAGTTGATACGAGCAGGTGAATACCTGTCAGTTTTCAACCAGTAATTTTGATACCTTCAGCCAGATCCGAGTATGCAAACCGCAAGAAAAAGTTACAGCACTTTTCAAAGCACGAAAATGTGGGCGTCAGCATTTTAAGAAAAATTAAATTTATTATTTCGACGTAGGCAAAACAGAGGGAAAATGAGTGAAACTTTGAAGTTTGTGAAAGCTAATGTTAAAGTCACTAATAGAATATCCTCATAAATTTTACTTTTTTATCTTTTGTAAACTGCTTGCTTTAGGGTGATAATTAGAATGGTTAAAAATGACATTTTCTCTAAAATTCGGTGTGGAAAGATGTAGTCATCCTTCCTCTGATATTGAACGGCTGCAGAACTAGACTGTTCGAATTCTGCGGTCATTATTCAAATTTAAAACCGGTTTTTTGGACTGATAATGTTGTTATCGTTTTTGATACTTTTAACTTGTGGAACTGTCAACATTTTCGGAAAGTCGTTGGAGAAGTTTAGCTGCTTACTTGCTATGAGCTGTCGTGAATTCTAAACGTTTATAGTTAAAGCTTGACGTTTTTTGATTAACAGTTACAATAGAACTCCAAAAAGCAACTTGACAGGTTCGTTTAGAATAAAGTTGTTAAAAATAAAATTTTCAGAAAGAATGAGGAGAAAAGTTTTCCTGTTTATTGACGAGTTTTTTACACATTAAAGTTCAGATCTTTTCAATTAACATGGACGAAATCATTGAGACGGCATGTAGAAGATCTATATCCTACTAGTTTATTTAAAAAACGTAAGTACGATGGACGGCAGTCCTAGTAAGTGTTTTATTCCTGTTATGAAAAATCTTCAGATCTTTTTACTAATTTCCTAGTTTTCATTGAAGCATGTAAGTAACTTTTTTGCTGTACAAGTTTATAAGCAACTTTTAAAGTGCATCTTGCATTGTTGTTTAAAAAAGATGGGAATTGAAAAGCTGTATAACTACTAAGCTTTTTAAATTCCGAATAGAATGCAATTATCGTCGTTAAGTCTGATTTATCATTATGTACAAAACGTTCCTGATTAGTATTATATCACAACTATAGTTCTAACATGGCCTTCACTGAATCTGAAGTTCTTCCTGTAAAAATTTATGAAAAGGGGTTTTCTGGTTAACCAAGAGGAGGATTGGTGCTGAATATGTTTTTAAGCTTACCCCAACCTGGAAGTCTTAGGAGTTGTACTTTGTTGCTAACTATTATACGTTTTCAAAGATAATCATAAATTTGCAAAATATTGGATAAGAAATAGTGGCTTGTTAAGAGCTAGTGCTCACTGACTTTTTGTGTAAACCAAAAAAATGCATCACGCTGATAGAGCATTACGGCCTCTACAATTGCAGTTCGCTGCTTTTGGAATTCATGAAATTTCATGAAACGTCTGCATGCTTCCAGAATTAGGTTAATCTTGCAACTGTAAATTCCTGTTATTTTAGAAAAGTCTTGCTCATTATTATTCTGTGCCTCTGCTTATCGAAAAGCTCCGTTGAAAAGTTTGCATGAGCAATACAGTTTCATCTATGGGCAGCTTTGACCCAATATGATTTCATTTTAGAATGTTGACATAATTTTCCATACATAATGTTCGATTTTGCTGTTTTTATACAGCATCAGTTTTTGAGGTATAATTTTACTTCAGTCTCTCTATTTGTTCTATAATAAATTCAAAAAGTCAACATAGACTGGGGAGCAGAAAAAGTCTTCTTGATACCCAAACAGAACGCTGCACTTGAGCACAAAAATTTTATATTGGCTGTGTGATTTTTGGAAGGCTCATAGCTCGACAGTACAATATTTTGAAAAGTTATATTCCCTGAACGCTATAAACTTCTAAAAATGTCAAAACATTAAATTTTTTGCTTAGACAGCGTAATTTTAGTGAAAGGTGGTTGTTTTACTGAAATAAAAAATTGGTCCTCTTCTTCCCTCTCCACTTCCCCTCTCAACTGCTGGCAGTGTCATTTTTTTGTTATTGCAAAAAGAGTGCTTCAGAATTACTCTTTCAAGAGCGAAAAACAGATACTTCAAAATAACGGTAATTATAACCACGGCAAAAAATAAAATTATTAACTTTGGTTGTTTACTGTTAGTAGCACCAACAAATTCGGTTTTTTTGCATTCAGTACTATTTTTTAGTTTTCGTAAGTAACAAATTTTGACAATAATTACAATTAACATATCGTTACTGGTTGAACAGCAAAAGATAAAAAATAACCGCGTGACACAGGACTAGACAACCAAAAAAATGCAGCAAATGACGTCTAAAGAACAATGATTTACTTTAGAGTTGTCATTATCAATAGGAATCGACATGTTTCTTTCTGGAAAAATAATCTTAAAAGATAGCAAAAATGAACGGGGGAAGAATGGTATCAACTTCTGAACAGTTAAAAAAACCGTGCAAAGATGAAAGAAACAAGTTAAATGCAGTTCATCAGGCTTTTCTTTACTGCCAGCTGATTGTTTGACAAATAATTTCAAAATTTGAAAATGACCACAAAAATACAGTCTAGCGTGTCCTAGATTCT